AATCCATCTCCAAACCAGCTTCTCCTCAGTCCTATTTCAGTAGTCAAACCAAAAAGAACCCTTGACTCTAGTTTCCTCCTCATTACTACATTCATTCATTGCCAAGTCCATTCAGTTCTGCTTCCTAAATATCTCTAGAATCCATCCATTTATCAGAACACCCACTCCCCTTCCCACTTCCAGACCACCATTATCTTTCATCTGGTGTTCTACAGTATTAAACAATCATTACTCCCCTCTGATGCTTTTCTCTACATCAGCCAGAAAAATGTTTCTAAATCATAAACCTGACATGGTGGTCTGTAGTTTAAAATCCTTCAGTGAAAAGAATAAATAAATAAAATAAAATCCTTCTGTGGCTTTTTATTGCCTTTACAATAAAATTTCAACTGGTGTGAAATTCGTAAGACTCTGCATGTTCAGGCCCTTTTGTTACCTCTTTTGCTTCATCTCTCACCTACCATTCCCCACAGATACCACCATACTAGCACCTCTTCATTTTAATTCTTACTGACTATATGTCAGTTTCTGCAGTGCTCCTGAATTTTCTCACTCTGAGCCTCCTAATATTCAGTGCATTCTGCTTCGAATACTTTCTTCCCCATTTTCCACTGGTTGTTTATCCTTCGGATGTCAGCTTAAATGTTACTTCCTAAATTTAGGACACCATCATTGACTCCATAATCCTCCGTGTCAGTTATGATAGGCTAAGTTATGCTGCAATAATGAGCAACACCCAAATCTCAGTGACTTAACAAAATTTATTTCCTGCTCATACTGCGTGTCCATCATGGCTCAGAGGGGGAGCTCTGCTCATTGTAGCTTCTCAGAGACTCAAACTAAAACATAATAGAAGCTCCCTCTCACATGTAAGATCATGATAGCCAAGGATAGCAGGATAAAAGGAATATGGTGAATCAGGCAGGAGCTCTAAAGCTCCTTTCAGAAAGTGATATATATCCAGTCATGTTTCATTAGCTGAACCAAGCCCCATAGTCCTCCCTACCTTGAGAAGGGATGGGGAACTACAATCCTATCACATGGTAGAAAGAAAACTAGCATGTGTGTGTGTATCCGCAGTGACTACCACAGCTCTTTTGTATGTACTACCATCTCATCTCATATTTCCTGCAGCACAGTAGCATCATGTTTAATATTGTTACTTGTGACCTGCTTTCCCCACTCCAAGCTTTGTGGAGGTAGGATCATGTTAGTTTCATTCATTCCTCTCTCCATTATCTTCATTGATACTTGGCACATAATAGGAATTCGAAAATATTTGCTGAGTGAATGCATAGAGCAACACTCCCAAGATTTGGTACTTACTTCGTTATTCTTTTACCTCTGCCATTTCTCCTTGAGGTATTATCCCCTTGCATGGTTTCAGCAGTCACTGCCCTGAGGGTAAGCTCCATACCCTGACTTCAGTCATATGTCTCCAACTACTCACTTGATATTTCTGCCTGAATTTAAAATGCATATTTAGGGGGGGACCTGGGTGACTCAGTTGGTTAAGTGTCTGCCTTTGGCTCTGGTCATGATCTCTGTGTCCTGGGATTGAGTCCTGCTGCAGGCTTCCTGCTCATTGAGGAGTCTGCTGCTCCCTTTTTCTCTGCCCCTCCCCACTGCTTGTGCACACACTCTCTCAAATAAATAAATAACATTTTTAAAATATAAGATGCATATTTATTCTTACAGTCAATATTTATTGATTACTTTCTACTAAGGCATTATATTAAATGATGTGAGGATACAAAGAGATTAAGGTGTATTTGCCTTCAAAGCGCTTATATTCTAGTATAATACAGGGAAGAATATAATGAATCCTTAATATGTACACAATATACAAGATGCTGTAGCAGAGCAGAACAGAGACCAGTGATTTAGGGCAAGATGGAATTAGAACTTCTGTTGTTTCAACCACTGAATTCACTGGGCAAGGATAAATACTGTTCTGTGCCGGATCCTTGGGACAACATGGATCAAATTTTTATCTACCTCACAATCCAATGGGGAGATAGGTAGCTAAGGATGAAAGAGTAAATGGAATTTTAACACAGTATGAGAGAGTGAGGGAGGGGTAGTAAAGGGGATGATGATGCAAAGGAAAGTAACAGAGGCTTTCTTTCATACATGCATATAGGAAACATTTATTAAGCATCAGCACAGTGTCAGACATTAAAAACATAATACTAAAGAAGACAATTCCTACCTTAAAGGACAGATAGTGTGATAGGAGGAACTTGATTTGTTTTGCCATGTTTTTGTTTTGCATCTTTGAAGGTGACTTTTGAGCATAAAAAAGACCATGTATCACTAATTTAAGGTTTAAAAAATGAAAAGTCAACATATTAAAATTTTGTAGTTTAAAATGTAGTTTTCAACACAAAAGAAAACAAATTTTTAAAAAGTCCCATTACATTTCTTATTCTATTTGTAGGTTTAGTGAAATTTAGCAGTTCCTTAAAAGGGAACTTTTACACTTAAATTTCTTTAAATATTTAAAACTATATTTACATATTTCAAATGTTTTATTTTCTCTTTTTTTAATTTTTATTTTTATTTATGATAGTTACACAGAGAGAGAGAGAGATGCAGAGACACAGGCAGAGGGAGAAGCAGGCTCCATGCACTGGGAGCCCGACGTGGGATTCCATCCCAGGTCTCCAGGATCGCGCCCTGGGCCAAAGGCAGGCGCTAAACCGCTGCGCCACCCAGGGATCCCCTATTTTCTCTCTTTTTTTAAAAAAAAATATTTTATTGATTTGAGACAGAAAATGAGAGAAATAGAGAGCATGAACAGGGTGAGGAACAGAGGGAGAAGCAGACTCCCTGCTGACCCGGGAGCCCTATACAGGACTCAGTCAGCTCAGTCGCAGGACTCCAGGATCATCTGAGCCAGTCAGACAATTAACCAACTGACCCACCCTTTATTATCTCTTTAAAGTACTTCAGTTGTTTGCCTAACAAAACATTGAGTTTCAGAGTAACTATATTTATTTAGTAGTAAATTAAAATACAACTATAAGTATGGTGAATCTTAGATTATTTTTACCATTTGTAAGGCTACTAAAGATATCTTTTACCTTCCAACATAAAAGTTTATCAAAATGAATTATTCAATGGCATATTTTAAATTAAACCAGCAAGGCTAATCTATTAATCTTAATATGATAATTTTTTTTAATTAGAAATACTTTCGAGACCAAATATTTACAAATTGTCTTTAAATTTAATATGAAGGATCCCTGGGTGGCGCAAGGGTTTGGCGCCTGCCTTTGGCCCAGGGCGCGATCCTGGAGACCCGGGATCGAATCCCACGTCGGGCTCCCAGTGCATGGAGCCTGCTTCTCCCTCTGCCTGTGTTTCTGCCTCTCTCTCTCACTGTGTGCCTATCATAAATTAAAAAAATAATAATAAAAATTAAAAAAAAATAAATAAATTTAATATGAAAAATATTAATACTGAAAGCTTGTTTTACTTTATTTCTGTACCTAATACTTAATCATCAATGGTTAAAAACGTCTAAGGAGAGCAGCAGCGGTTTAACGCCGCCTGCAGCCCGGGGTGTGATCCTGGAGACCCAGGATGGAGTCCCGCGTCGGGCTCCCTGCGTGGAGCCTGCTTCTCTCTCTCTCTCTCTCTGTGTGTCTCTATGAATAAATAAATAAGTAAAAAAATCTTAAAAAAAAAAAAAGACTAAGGAATATTATGCTACTTCGAGCAAGATGGGTGGAGGAGTGGTTACCATCTTGGTACACTGAGGTTATTTATCAACCAGAAAGACTGGCCTGAAATGCAGGAATTAATTCTTACAGATGACATCCATTGGGTGCCCTGAACTCCAGTTATAGTCCTAGAATAGGAACCCCCACATTTATGAAAAGGCTGGACTCAAAGCTATGGGCACTCACATTCACCTTATACATAAGTTAAATCTTCTGTCTGGTTTGAAATTGCTGTATCCTTGTCAGGATATTTTTTACTGCTTGCTTTAATTTGCATTTCTCTCACTGTCTTAAGACTGTGTACTGTTTTGTATGGTTCTAAAGATACATCTCTCTGATCCTTTGTAACCAACTTTAATTCTTCTGTAAACGTTTTGACCATTATGGTTTGATTGGAGTGAACAGGATTCTGTTCTCTCAATGTTCCTCCTTACCAGGGCCACAATTCATTCATTCTTTTTTCTTCCTTCTTCCTTCCTTCCTTCCTTCCTTCCTTCCTTCCTTCCTTCCTTCCTTCTTCCTTTCCTTTCTTTTCCTTTTCCTTTTCCTTTTCCTTTTCCTTTTCCTTTTCCTTTTCCTTTTCCTTTTCCTTTCCTTTCCTTTCCTTCTTTTTTTTTTCTTTCTGATTTTATGAGAGACACAGAGAGAGAGAGGCAGAGACATAGGCAGAGAGAGAAGAAGGCTCCCTGCAAGGAGCCTGATGTGGGACTTGATCCTGGGATTCCGGGATCATCCCCTGAGCTGAAGGCAGATGCTCAACTGCTTAGCCACCCAGGCATCCCAACAGGGCTACAATTCTTATAGATAATAAAATGACATTCAGTTTTATTCTACACATTCCTCATGGCTCTGTCTAGCTCTTGAGTCATAACCTGAAATCACAATCCTGACTTGGGAGAGACCACTGTGATATACTTGATGGGATTTGTCAGTTGATTCATGACTAGCTGTTCCTCAGCATGTTCAGATATGACATACCCAGCTCTTGGGGGCTGAAAACAGCATTACTCTTCTTGCTCAGCCATGATCCAGTTGTGTCATCTTGAGCAAGTTATTTAACTGCTTTGGGCCTCAGTTTCCTCATTTGTATATAGCAAGAACTCTTAGTTCTAAAATCCTATTATCTGCTAAGTTCTAATGTAGTGTCTGAAATCTTGGTGCTATACTGTGCTTTGTTAGGCATTGCTCAGTAATTAACTAAATTTTATCTTCTTGGAAATTGTCATAATTATGGAGAACAGTGAGATAATAAGTGGTTTTACTTTCTTCCAGATCTTTGATGATGCGTACAAATCCCAGCTTAGTTGTGTGGTTGTGGATGACATTGAGAGACTGCTTGGTGAGTAATAACCTTTCCCATTGTACTATCTGCCTTATTATACTAATGTCTCACAAATTACAAGAGAAAAATAACGGGTATTTATAAACTCTAGGGCAATAGAAATACTTTTCTTATAAGGAATTATGCTGTTATATCTGAAGTCAATGATGGTATTCATGTTAAATATGCCTTATGACGTTAACACCATTATAAACTGCTTTCCTGTAAGGGCCCACACCTCATATTATTTTGTTTATTCCACAGAGTTCCCTGCCCATAATAAATGATTAGTAATTTCCATTGATGGATATATTTGCTATTTAATACCTCTGAGCTGCCTGTACCCCAGAGTTTCCACTTGGGAGAAGCTGCAAGTTCTCTTGTACCTCAGTGTCTGTTTTATAAGAATGAGTCAGTGTTATAATGCATTTATTCCATATTTATCTAATTTTTGCAATGAAATAAAATGTACCTGTTTTATAAGAACAAAGACTGTTCCCTTCCTTACTTATCCCATAGAGTAATTACACAAACAAAAATGGGATAACAATATTAAAAACGTTCTGAAAGTTAAAAGTGCTCTACAGTAATTTTTAAAAATACAGATTTACCATCTCTTATATTGAAATGCACAGGATACAAAGATGAAAAATAAGACAGTCCCTGAATGCAACTCATAAGGTGTAATCTTCCAGTAAATGTCAGAAAAATGTTGTTACTTACATTTTATTCCATTGCAAAAATTAGATAAATCTGGAATAAATGTATTATAATAGTGACTTGGAATGCTGTGTAACTGTATTTAAATTGAACCCACATGGTGACTTCATAAACTTCTGAAAATACTACCTAAAATCTGAGTAATCCCTTCTTCAGCTATCCAAAATGGTGTAGTAATGATTTCAAGTTAACTCCTCTTACCACATTTGCCTCATGATTTTCAGACTTGCTTTAGGTCCTCTGTTATTTATTTTTCTTGTTTCTTAAAGCAGTGTTTGTTATAAAGATATACCTTTCTGTATAAAGGTGTATCTGAGGTCTTCTTAATTTGATAGTTTTATTTAGTGACCTAGGGTTTTGGTCTGCTGTTTTTGATACATTTCAGCCCAGTTTATAGGATTATTTCTTTAAAAGCCTTTAAGCACAAACTCATAGCTCTGTGTAAATTCCTTTATCTAAACACAATTGAGATGTGTGGTCATAGCAACACTACTATGTCAGGAATGTGTGCCCTCTGAGTATATTTTCACTTGTATGAATAGTTATTATCTGTACTTGTTTGTTCATTTATTCGACAAGTAAGCTGAGCCCTTACTACTGGGTTAGAATTATTAGGGTCTCAGAAAAAATGCGTAACATGCTGTCGTTATAACATAATATTGGTGAAAATTATCACAAAGTAGAATATACCATGTGTTCTGGATATTCAGAAAAAAGAAAGATCACTTTTGACTTCAGAGGGCTGTTGTCTGAAGATAGTTCTAAGCACAAGGCAAGGGTGCATACATATGCAGTATGCAGAGGAATCCTAGGAAGGGGCATTTATGCTGAATCTTGAAGTTTGACAGAAAGTTTTAGAAAGTTCTCTGCTCTTCACTGTCTGAGGACCAGTTTTGGTGACCCTCCTATCATTTCAGTTATATTGAAGTACCTTTCTTAGATGATTACTTGCCATCTCCCCCTCTATTCATTTTCTAGTATGCTTTGTTGCCTGTGAGCTTACTGTATGACCATGATTTGCAGTAATTTCTTGGAAACAGTTGGTAAATCACCTGGGGGCTTTTTCTTCCTTAAAAAAAAAACAAAAAACACCTGTCTCTGACTATTGGACAAAGATGTCTATCTGAACTCAAAATGGATATTTAGAAGCTTTTAAAAAAATTTATAGATGAGAGTTGTTATATAATGTTTTAAACATTTAAGTTATTGGATATATTATTTTTCTAATTATCATTAGTTGCATGACAGTTACTTAGGACTGTGTTTACTCTTGATGCAGAAAAACCTGAATATTTGGACTATGTGCATATGTGTATCAAATCCCTAAAACATAACAATGTTTTTCTTCTAGATTATGTACCTATTGGCCCTCGATTTTCTAATCTGGTATTACAAGCTCTTCTCGTGTTACTCAAAAAGGCACCTCCTCAGGTAAAAATAATATAAAAAACGTTTTCACAGCATTTGTCCAATATATTGCATGTAATGGTGCAAATAAGCTGCTAAATAAGCAAGCTATCATACACATTTCAAATTATGTTGTGGTCATGGAAAAGTCATCTAGTCTCACCTTCTGTTTTAAGGTAAATGATTTCTTTTCTTTTTTTTTTTTTTTTTTTTTAAGGTAAATGATTTCTTAACAGGGAAATTTCCTTTCTAAAGATCCCAAAATCCTAGTTACAATTAGTGTTTTGTTTTTGTAGTTCTGTGGATTCCCCAGCATATTACACATCCCTAGCTGCCTCCATCTTCCATGAGAGATTATGATATTCCTGTAGTAGGGATTGAATACACATTCCCATTTGTTTTGTTTTTCATTTCATAGATAGTTTCCTAAGAATTTGTATTTGGGGTTATTCATTTCCTGTAGGCAAGTTTTTCTTTCCTTTTTAAAAAGAAAAAGCTTAGTTAAACACTAAGCTTGAATTATTTCTCTTGTATCATGTGGCACTTTTGAGGAGGGAGTTCATAGTCAGGATCTTTGTTCATGTGGTTGCATTTTCACTGATGTGGCTACTGGAGATTGGTGATTTTGATAACTAATTTAAAAGTAATCTATGAGGGTTGGTTAAATATGTTAATTATGTAGAGGCTGCCAGAGCATGTTTGGCTATGATACAAGACACAAATTCTATTGATTGATTTTGTGTACTGTAACCTTTGAGAAATGCCAGTCAAAGACAGATACAAAAGGGTTAAGTACTAACTTGAAAAATATCTTAATGTCTAGATGGCAATCTTGTATTTGAAGTTAGAGATATTAACTAGGCTGTATAGAAAATATTTCACCTTAAGTGGGTGAATCTGCTTTTTAATTTAACAGTTAAAATTGTGTGTGTGCTTGTGTGTGTCAGAACTAAAAGTGATGCACTTGTCTTGATTTTCAAGAATTTTTTTGTGGGTTTTTTTGTATTTCTAGAATAGTGAAAAGAAACATAAAGTGTGACAGTCTTGAAAGTTTACTGCATATATGCATTGTAAGGATTTTGTAATCATTTTTCCATAAACTATCATTCCCAGTAATCAGAGTTTTAGTTCATCCTAAAGCTGAAATTAGAAAACTGAATATATTTTTCCCTTCTCTGATTCCTTCAATAAGTAGGTAAATAGATAAATCTAAAGTTGCTGGAAAAGGAGCGCCCAGGTGGCTTAGTCAGTTAAACATCTGACTCTTGATTTTGGCTCAGGTTATGATCTCAGAGTCCTGAGATCGAGCCCTGCTCTAGGCGCCCCATTCAGTGGGGAGTCTGCTTGCCTTCCTCTCCCTCTGCCCTCCCTCTGCTCACACACACACACACACACTCTCTCTGTCTCTGTCTCTCTCAAATAGATAAATAAAACTTTAAATAAAGTTGTTGGAAAAAAGTAAATAACCTCAACATCCATATATATCACAAAATGAGTCCTTTCCTATGATATAGCATTTTAAAAATTATTAGAGGGGCACCTGGATGGCTCAGTTGGTTGAGCATCTGCCTCAGCTTGCGTTGTGATCCTGAAGCTGGGATTAAGCCCTGCATCGGGCTCCCTGCTTCTCCCTTTTCTCCCCACTCATGTTCTCTCTCACTATCTCTGTCTCTCTCTGTCTCTCAAATAAATAAATAAAATATTTAAAACAAATCTTTTTTTAATTATTAGATTGGGGGACTTTCTCCAGGCATTTAAATTTATATCTTATTCAGTCTTTAACTAAAAAGAACATATGCTAAAAGCTGTTGGGAGAAGAAAGAATAATTTTTCAATTATATTTTTTAAACTGCTTGTCCTTTACATTGTTAAATATATTTATTTAACAGAAAGACATCCTCTAGTTGAGAATTATTTGTAAATCCAAAATAGATATGAATAGAAATAAATACAGCATATTAAAAAAAGACTTGCAACATTTTGTTAAAGAGTTGGGAATAGGGATGCCTGGGTGGCTCAGTGGTTGGGCACTTGCCTTTGGCTCAGGTCATGATCCTGGGATCTGGGATCCAGTCCCGCATCAGGCTCCCTGTGAGGAGCCTGCTTCTCCCTCTGCCTGCATCTCTGCCTCTCTCTCTCTCTGTGTGTCTCTCATGAATAAATAAATAAATCTTTTTAAAAAAAATAAAGACTTGGGAATAACTTTCCAGTTTGTAAAAATAATTGTGAAATTCTTGAGGAAACGAACATTTTCTAATGTTTTAAAATCTTACTTACAGTGTCTTCTGGCACAGGTTCATACAGATGTACTTCACTTATTCAACAAAAAAATATAGATAACTTGCTTCTAAAGATATTTCTTTAGTGTCTGCTTATTTTGGTGGGCTTAAGTATTTTGTGTTGTTATAATTTATATTTGGTAAGGTATGATTCAAAAATAAATAAATTTCAAATGGCCAATAAGAACATAAAAAGATACTCAACATCGTTAGCCATCAGAGAAGTGCAAATCAAAGCCACAGTGAGATACCACTTCATACCCACCAGAATGGCCATAACCAAAAAGTCAGATAATAAGTGTTGCTGTGCATATAGAAACCCTTATACACTGTTGGTGGGAATATAAAAATTGTGCACCCTTTGGAAAATAACAGTTCCTCAAAAGATTAGAGACAAAGCTATAATATGACCCAACAATTTAGATACGTACCCCATAGAAATGAAAATATATGTCCTCACAGAAGCTTATAGATATGTTCAAAACAGCATTATTCATAATAGCCAAGAAATGGACACAACCTAGATATTCACAAATAAACTATGGTATATCCATACAATGGAATATCATTCAGCAATAAAAAGAAATCAAATCCTGATACATGCTACAACATGGATGAACCTTGAAAACGTTTTAAACAAAAGGAGCCAATGAAAAAGACTGCAGATTGTTTGATTCCATTTGTATGAAGTGTCCAAAACTGGCAAATCTGTAGAGACAGAACCTAGTAAGTAGATCCATGGTTGCCTAGGACCAGGAGGGGTGGATAGTGAGAATGAGAGGTGACTGCTAATGGGTGTGGGGTTTTTTTGGGGGGTGTTTCACATGTTCAGAAATTGATCATGATGATAGTTGTACCTGCTGTAAATATACTAAAAACCATTGACTAACACACTTTAAATCAGTGAATCGTGTGTTCTGTGACTTATATCTCAGTAAAACAGATGCTTTAAAAAAGAGAGTGATTGCAAAAGCTATATAATTGTTGAAAGGAGGATTATAGGGAAAGCTGGAAGCAAGGAGTGAGCATCTCCTTGCTAGGTACATGGCCCAGTTTGGGAGAAGTCCTAGAAACAGGGATTGGATCATTCAAAAGGGATATGGAATGAATTTCTCTAAGGACTGGAAAGGAAGGGCATTGGAATATGTTAAAAATCAAAGATAGATCTGGTTACCTTAGTGAGAGGAAATCACTAAGTGATTGGAAATGGCAGAGATTCTCTTTTAAGGATTACCAGCCTGTCATTAATCAGAATGTGGTGACTCTGGCCTGGACTGCTGGATGATGCCTTGCTGTATAAATAAGTGTGTCAGTAGCAGGAGAAGTTAATGTTTCAGATATTCCTAGTTGACATATATTTAACAAAATAAAAATGTGCTTTCTCTGTCCCACCTTGCTTTTTAAATTAGTATGTATTCTCTCAGGAGAATAAGGGAGATTTTTCAGGCTGATCCAGTGTTGAGGATATTTGTCTTTCTGAAGTGGAAGCATTCACTTCATCAAACCATTATCCATGTAGGTTTTTCAGATGTTTTCAATTAAATATTAAAAGTGTATGAATCTGAGTGTTATGGAGCTACCTAGGTGGTAGAAAACTATTGTTTTTAATCACCATCAAGAAAACAGAAGTTGAAGGCATTTTTCTTTAAAAAGAACTGTATGTGTATACAATATAGTAATCATATCACAGAATCCTTAATATTCCATTTGTTGTAATTCCAGCTTTCACACAGAAAAATTATGTGTGCATGTGTGCACATGCTCAAATAAAAGAATCCCCCTTCAGGGGCACTATGTTGTTATGTATCTAGATATTCTCTTTTCTCCTCCTCCCCTCCCCCACGCCCCTCCCTCGTTGTAAATTGGCTTATTAAAAGTGGCTCACAAGCCTTCTTTTTTTCCCTTTGTGATTGCTTTGGTCCTGGATTTTCAGTGTAGGACTAAAAATTCAAGTCAGATTTCAGTTACTAGGATAATTTTCTTTGAATTTTAAATTTTTCAAAGTAAATGCATAGATTTTTAATGAATCCAGTATTCAGTGGGTTTGCTTTAAATTTAGCTGGAGAGTTAATTTCATGATTGATTTATTAGCCCTTTGAAAGTATAAAAAGTGGTATCTGTAGTTCATGAAGACTGAAAAACATCATCACATTTTGTTTAGCATCTTTTTAAAACCAATTAAAAGCTTTTCTAAAATGGATTGAACAGGAGAAAATAAAACATGTTCCCTAGGTCTTTATTTCAATCAAGTTGCCCTGTGTTGTGCAGGAGAAGAGATCGAGGGGGGGTAGAGCACTGAAAAGGGCTGTCCCAGCAGGGAGCCGCGCCGGAGAAAAGGGCTGCTCTGAGAAAGCCCCCGGCCTGCTTCATCTACATGCAGAGTCACACAAGGCATGGGGGTGCTCACCGGCACCACAGAGGTTTCACATGTGCTTCCCTGCTGATTCCTGTGAAAAGCTAACAATTGGCTCGGAGGGTAAAAGACCACTGCAGTTCACCCTCCCCGAGCTGGATGTACAATTTGTCCAGTGTTAGGAAATGTCCGGCTTAGCAGTGAGAGGCTTGAAGACACCCCTCCTTCCAGTGAGATTCCTAAAGCTGGCTCTTTTACTCAGTGACACTGGGCTCTTTTCAGGTTTTGCAGATTTATGGAAGTTGAGGGGAATGTGCTTTTCAACATGAGGAGGATAAAAGCCTTAGTCTTAATGTCAAGGAAGAAGCAGTAGGAGCCATAAGGCCAGGTAA